GTGAGCTGACAGTTTGGAGCCTGTTTGGGATTTTCTCTCTCCCTCTCTCTCTTTCCGCCTTTCCCCCGTGCGTGCATGCTCACTCTTCTCTCAAAATAAATGAACTTTAAAAATAAATAAACAAATCTAAAATTAAAAAGAGAATGTATAAATCTTATGCACTCATACTCTACAAGATATTACAGGCAAAATGTTCCGAAGAGTTATGGATTATGTTACACCTCTTGATAAAGTTAAAAACAAAAAGCTAAGGAAGTAGAGTATGTACATATTTGCTTGACATATACATACTATTTGTAAAGATAGGAAAGGAACTAGTAGTGCTGGCTATACATATCAAGGGAAAACGAGGTGGATGGGAAAATACATACTGTAACACTCAGTAAATTTTTTACCTTGTGAACATACAATATATTTGAAAAAGTTAAAATTAGTTCATTTTTAAAAGTCCACTTATAACGGGGTCAGTTGGTTAAGTGTCCAACTTCAGCTCATGATCTCACAGTTCATGGGTTCAGGCCCCACATTGAGCTCTGCACTGACAGCTCAGAGCCTGGAGCCTGCTTCAGATTCTGTGTCTATTACTAAATAAATAAATAAACATTAAAAAAACAAAATAAAATCCCACATATATTGTATGATTTCATTTGTATGTAATGTCTAAAATAAGCAAGTCTGCAGAGCTAAAAACTAAATTAGTGGTTGCGAGGGGAAGGAGAGAGAGAGCTGGGACAACTGCTAATGGATGTGGGGTTTCTTTTGGGCGTGATAGAAATGTTCAGGAACTAAAACCTGTGAAGCGTACCCTTTCAAATGGTGAATTTTTTTATGTGATTTATATCTCAATAAAAAGTTATAAAGAAATCTCAGGTTGTTATTGTTAAATTCAACTGATGTGCTAAATTACCTAAATATTCTACAAGATATAAAGTTACCTTTAATTAGCATTTACACCAATAAGAAAGATGCTACATCACTACTCCTTCATATGTGGGTCAGCAATTTTAATCAAATCGGCCTTTTATTGGTGCTACTCATTTTAATTAAAAAGTCTAATTTTATCTTTCCTCAGAGCTACAGACAAGCAGCAAAATCATATGATCTGAACTTTACCTCTTTTTAGAGAACTGGCCACATGACCAAAAAACTTAAAATATTCACAATTAGCCTGAGGATAATAGATATTTTAAAAGTCAAGACTTCAAAAAGGTTGGCTATTGTTTCCTATTATGGCTAGATATAAAAATAGAATCCCACTTCCTTACACTAAAGCACTAATACCCAGGAAAGATGAAAAAACAGTATCTTCACTGATTTGGAGCTTATTTTTAAGACAGAAAATTTAGGGTGATTCTTTTCAAAAGTTGCCTCAGGCTTAAGGCAATTAAGTTCAGTGGTTTCCTAAAACTAGTAAGTTTAGGCAACATCTATCAGAGATTGATAAAGCAAAATTAAAATAGACTTAGAAGTAAAAAATAAGGGCACTATAAAAATAGTAGAGCTGAGGGGCACCTGGGTGGACTACTTGGTTAAGCAACCGATTTTATTTAAGCTCAGGTCGTGATCTATCTCATGGTTCATGAGTTCAAGCCCCACATTGGGCTCCGGGCACTGACAATGTGGAGCCTGCATAGGATTCTCTCTCTCTCCCCAACTCGCGTTCAAGCACTCTCTCTCTAAATAAACATTAAAAAATAAAGCTTAGAAAATTCAGAAAAACATATAATTCAAACTGCAAAATCCTATATATAGCTGATAAAGTTCAAAGCTTTTTTTTCACAAACCACCATTTTTGTGAGCAATTATGTAAAACATTCTTATTAAGTATATTTACTTAATACAAGGTGGCTAAGAACTACCAGAAAAATTTTTTAGATATTCCAAACCTATGAATACATTAAAAGGGGTTCAGAATTTCTTAAACATTATCTTCTATAATATTAGAATCTTGGTTTTCAGTTCATTATAGGTAAAACTAGGGCAAAGAGTTTTAACCAATGCTTCAGAAAGCACTCTTAAAAATCCATGAAAATGCCAAAGATTCAACTGACAGAAATTCCATTTAGTGTTACAGAATGCACTGAAGTAAATTTTATGCTAATTTCATATGTACACATTTCAAATTTCTCCTTTTGCCTAAAAAAATTAAGTGCAGAAAAGTCAGTCTGCCCTATTTCAACTCTGTGCACAGATAATATAATTTTTTAAGGTAAAAGTGTATATGAAGACAGGAAAAATAATTTCTAGACATAACAATTTGTCTAAGTTGTTTGTAGGGGGAAAAAACCTTCCAATCAAACCATCCCATGGTTAATCAAAATGCATAAAAAAACCAGAGACCTAATTTATGGCCAAAACAATCTCTGGATCTTTTGCTATACACTGCTACTGATATGGGAGCAAGGAATTTAGTTCTTAGTCCATAACAATCTTTTTTCCCCCCTAGGTAGGTTTCATGCCCAGGGAGGAATCCAATGCCGGGCTTGAACTCAAGACTCTAAGATCAAGATCCGAGACCAGACCAAGAGCATGGACATCTAACTAGCTGGGCCACCCAGGTGCCCCTCCATAACAATCTTTAAGCACAGATTTCAATATAAGCATGCCTACACTTCTGGGATACTATACAGGATCTTATAATCAAAGGGCAGTCAATTCAATATATTCAGCTACTTCAGACACATACTTAACACTCTAAAGTCTAAGGCTTTAACCAACTGAAAAAATCAAATTTACTTTACAAAGGTTTAGGTAACTCATGCAGAAATAAATCTCTTGCCAGCAAGTTTTTTAAATACCTTATATTTGGCTCTCTAAAAGCTTTAAGGAAGACCACAATTACAAAAAAAAAATTCAGTTCAGCTTTTCAATATCAAGCATTTATCTACACAATAAAATGATAACAAGCCAAGGAAGTAAGTTTAGTTGTGGATGGCAAATACTCTAACATTCTGAACAAGTCCCATCAGAATACATGCATACACATACACACACGGCGCGCCAGGCTGGCGCTTTCAGAGAGAATGTTGTTTTCAGGTAAGTAATGTGGCAAGTGCCATAAATAAACTGTTACAATTTCAGAGTCCCTACTCTAAATGCCTTCACCAGTGACCTCTTGGGGAAATGTTTAACTACTAAAGCCATGACCCTCCTGCAACTTACAAAATACACTAGTTAGTTCATTAAGTAGTTACCTAATTCAATGATTCATGTACTGCTCCATGCTCCACCCCACTCTCCCCACCAAAATAACACCCAATCAAAACACCATTACTTTAAAAACACGACAGCAAATGGTGGCAAAAACAGTAAAATAGCCAACCACCAATTCTTAACCATTAGGCTGATTTTAATAGTTAAATAAGTGATACTTGATATCTCTTTAGGAAGAACTTACTCCAGACCAGACAACATCCTGGACATTTTATCATTACCACAGTCCTGTAAAGCGCAAAATACTAACTGAAATGCTTTAGGTTTTAAGGCAAGAACTGCATTTACCGAAGAGAGTACTCCCCTTTTCTTCCCTCCCCAAATACATTAGTTAATGCTAACTACAGGAGCGTTTTCTATTCCTAGGATGGCCCTTTAACAACTCCGGGTTAACAAGCTCTCAGGTCCTAGCAGTCGCATAAACAGAATTTGAAGAACTTTCACGGCAGAAAAGGACAGGAATCAAACAGCTACCCTGTTTGAGTACCCAGGGCACTGAATTTCCTCAAGTCCTAAGCATGTGTTTTCTGTTAGCTGAACTCAACCCACTCTAACCACATAACCGCTGGAAACACAACTATCTGGAAGAAACACCAACACTAACCCCATACCCTTGTAAGTGAAAAGGCCTCCTGCCAGTCCCCAGGAAGAGCAGTCGCCGTCGACTATCAAGGGCCCACAATCACCGCTTTTTAACTGCAGAGGCCAGCTGGCCGACAACCACGTGAAAAAATGCCGCAAGGAAAGCTCTTCCGGAGAAGAGGAGTCCCGACAGATCACGTGCCGCCGGCCGGAACCTGCGGAACGCTCCGCGGGATCTAGTCGCATTCTGTTACCGTGGAGACTACAGAACCAGCCACCCGGCCCTCTCGGGCCAGCCCCCTTCCCAGCAGTCGTCTCGCCGCCTCCAGGCACTTTCCCTGCAGCCTAGCTGCGGCGTCGTGCCCAAAAAGAAGAGGCAGAACAGGCAGTATTTGCCAGGGATTACACCGCAGAAGCCTGAGAAGCTTTACAACACCCACCGGTGGTGCGCGGGTGGGCTCGAGAGTTCTCTTCATCCATGTGTCTGCTTCGGCGAGGCGAACCCTGGGAGAGTGGTCTTCCCTCAGAAAAAGGTGTACTTTAGTCACTCACGTTGTTCTGCCATCAGTCACCCCTCCTTTAAGACCTTCCTCGTCCCCCCTTCTTGCGCCCTCCCCAGGGTTCCAAAAGCAAAGCAAAAATCTTCACAGAAGACATTACCATTTCCACTCTCAATACGGTATGAAATGATCCCTAACTTCTCCATACTCTTGGCACATACCCCTCAACTTTGGTTACTGGTGCTCAAATAGGCTTATTCGACCCACCTACCAGAGGGCAGAGACATACTCGACAATTTAACTGACGCGGGAAACCTTATAAACAGAGAACTCATCAAAGACTGCCCACGGAGGAAAAAAGAAAATAACACCTGTTCTTCCCACCTGTTTTCCCCGCCCTCATTTCTGCACTTACTAGCCACCGGTCTTTGTTTACCAAGTTCCCACTCCCGTACGGTTCACTTCCTCGCCTTCCTTACTAAACTCGCGCGCGGTCCTGCCTCGAACAACTTGTCCGGAAATTACAAGCTAAAAGAGACGTTTACACAGGTGTCAAAAAGCTGCACACAGCTCCTTAATAAGCGACGTCAGCACCATTTCCCTCAGACTTTCTGAACCCCGAGACCTGAGCTCTAAAATGCAAAGCGCACAAGCAGAGCTCTCGACATAAAGCGCCGCGCCGAAAGTCATCACGCGGAGCGTACCATGCGGTGCGGCACCCCACGCACGCGAGGGCAGGGCCGCGCCAAGGGCGCTTCTCACCCCGCCCGCCTCGTGGCCGCTCTCTCTGGCGTCGATGTTACCAGTGAGTTCGCTGCGCGACGCGGAAGTGAGGCCGGGGACGCGCGCGAGGTGACATGCGCAGCCTCGCTCAGGGGGCCACAGGCGCGCGCCAAAGGCGCCCCGCGCAAGGCCCGGCCTGGCTGGGGCGTGCGAAGATCGCACAGAGGAACGCTTCTCACGCTGTTCAAATCCACAAGCGCTTCAAACTCTCGAAAAACTCCAATCGGGCCAATACTAAAGAGACGCCCTCCACCCAGCCCCGAGAGTTACCGTACGGGGCGTGGCCGGCCTCACCCGGAGTCCTTCACATCCCGCTGGGGGCGGGTTATTCTGTTCGGTTCGCACACCGTGTGTCCGCTTCAGCTGAAGAGCCTGCGCGCGCACCGGACGTCCACGTCACCGCGCACGCGCTCCTACCCGCTCAGAGTCCACCGCGCAAGCGCAAAAGGAGGCGCGAGCAGCACCTCCCTCGCCCCTCCCCCAACACCAGGAGGCCAAACGGCCCCGAAGCAGCGACAAGACCCTTGGGACCCGCCCCTGGAGCTCAAGCTGCTGGTTTTCCGGGTCCCAGAAACCGATAAAAGCCTAATGAAGCTTCCAGAATCAAGAAAGGCGAGGGAGGAAGAAGGCACCCCAATTACCTCAGCCTCGCACACGAAGGCTTCGTGAAAACCGTGAAACCTTTACCCGCGGGCTTTCTCAAAAGTGCCCTCCACGGTTTCCCTCGGGCTCCTCGGCTGCCCCGCCCCTGCCGCACCCAGCCCCACCCACATCTGACTCCACAGCCCCGGGGGGCTTCCCGAACTCATCAAAATCCTCGATCTTCCTCTCTAGTGTGCTGTAGGTTTGGATAGCGCCAGACCGTCGGGAAACCCTGAAGAAAAGCCTGAGACGGGTGTCGTCTGCACCATCTTCGAAAGAACACTAGGAGAGTAGGAAGGAGACCGAAAATTCCACTACCAAATGGGAAAGGAAGAAGAGTTGCCACTAACTTGCCTGATATAAATATGAAAGATGTCCTAATAAAACAGTAAAACGTGGAAACAAGAATTTTGCATCACAGAGTATTATCTAAGCTTTCATGCCTTGATCCTGTGTTTTCAGTTTTTGTTGTTCAAGATACTTAAGGTATGAAGTGCAAAGGGAAAACTGCTGAATATAATGTCAGGCAGTTGCTGAACAAATTAAGGAACAGGATTTCTCCCAACCAAACATCAAAAATTATTTCTTATTCCCTACCCTTTATCAGCCACTCTTCTGAACTGCTAACACTCAAGTAAAAAGGGAGAGTTGTTTAAAGTGAGAGAGAAGAGGCAAAATAGAAGTCTGTGGTAAGAGCAGAAATTGTGGTCCTTGTTTCCAAACTGTATTCTTTCACTTTTAGAAGAATTAGCAAGTACTTAGAATATATTAATTGCTAGATGACAACACAAAATACTATGAAAAAAAATGAGGGAGTTGAAAGAAAAGAGCCAAGGAGAAGTAGCATATCCCAACAGGACTGATCAGAGCTGGACTCCAGACATATTATGAAGAAGGGTCTTTTTCTCTTCATTCAGCACTCCCTCTGCCACACCATGGGAAGAAACTGCTGGAATTAGTATGGACTGGAAAATGTGTAGGCTAAAGATTACGGGCTTCTGAACTTCCTCTGAAACCCCCACTCAGGCATTGTCAACAAGAGCACAACAAATGAATAATACGCAAGATCCCAGACAAAACTGAAAAGTGCCAGTTTCTTTGACATCTTACTCCTCTTCCCTGACCCCAAAAACCTTTCCCTGCCTTCTCAGAGTTTACCACCTCTTCTAAGAAGGCCTTCCTCTCAAGTGTGTTAGGTTTCCTCATACAAAATTAAAGGCAGAAATAAAATATATTGACTTAGCCTTAAAGCATCTGATTCTAAGATGTAAATTACTGATTACTGGTTAACAACCACACCCAGTGGTAGTTACATCCCGAAACAGACAAGTTAACATAAGTGGTATCTCTCATTGGAGAATTTTAGAGGACACCCTGGAAGACATGGAAAGCGGAGATTTTCTTTCTTCCTGCAACAAGCAAACATTATGAAATGCCGGATCTTTTAAAACCACTACCATATTGTGAAGACTCAGCATTGGATCTCCTAGTAGAAAAGACAAACTACCCACAGTTTTTCAAAGTAGGGTCTGCCTACCCTGTAAAGGTCTAGAAATGTACTACCAAGAATCTGAGAGGTACCTGGGTGGCTCAGTCTGTTAAGCAACCAACTCTTGACCTCGGTGCAGGTCATGATCCCAACGTTGTAGGATCAAGCCCCATGTCAGGGTCCACACTGAGCATGGAGACTGCTTGGAGTTCTCTTTCATCTCTGCCCTCCCCTGTTTATGTGTGCCTGCTTATGCTCACACATTCTCAAATAAAAGGAAAAGAATGGGGGAACTCAGCTGGCTAACTGTCCGACTCTTGATTTTGGCTCAAGTCATGATCTCACGATTCACTTTAGAAAGGAGCTTATTTGGGATTCTCTCTCTGCCCCGACCCCTGCTCCTTCCCTGCTCATGAGCACACACACTCTTTCTCTCAAAATAAATGAATACACAGTTTTTTAAAAAAAACAATTTATGTTTTTATTTAGTCTAAAAATGATACTGCCATATCATTTCAATGACCCATTTTTTATTTAACATGCGAGTACCAAATAACCACTTCTTTGTTTGCTTTTTCAAGTACCCTCTTAAATGGCTAAACTCAACTTTTAATGCAGTGTTTCTCAACCTTGGGTCCTTGGTTGTATTCTTTGGATATATATATATATAAGAACTTCCTTTGCAGTACTTGGATGGCTCAGTTGGTTAAGCAACCGACTCTTGGTTTTGGCTCAGCACATGATCTCATGGTTCATAGGAATGAGCCCCACATCTGCCTCTGTACTGGCATTGCAGAGCCTGCTTGAGATTCACTCTCTTTCCTGCTCTCTCTGCCCCTCCCTCACTGGAGCTCTCTCAAAATAAACTTAAAAACAACAAAAAAGAACTTCTTCCTTTAAAGGGCACTTCTATATAACCCAAGTTTTTAGAGCACCAAGCTAAGTAACTGCTAAAGCTGACGCTCCAGAGTTTAACCTTGCTATTAGAATTCTATCATTTCAGGCACCTGGGTGGCTCACTAGGTTAAGCGTTCCAATTCTTTCTTGGTTCAGGTCATTGATCTCATGGTTCATGAAATCCAGCCTTGAGGCAGCCTCTGCATTTACAGTACAGAGCTTGCTTGAGATTCTCTCTCTCTCCCTCTGCCCTGCTCCAGTGCTTTCTCTCTAAAATATTTTTTTAATTTAAAGAAATTCATTTCAGTTATCACAGCTCACCCTTGTTCATCCAGCCTAATACAAAAACTTTTCCCTTGGTTTCCCTTAGTTGAGCTTTCAATGATATTTTACTAAATATTAAGGGAGGTGGGGACAGAGAATGCATGGAATATAAACACAAACTTGATCCAAGATGCTCTATAAACACATAGGCCCTATTCCACTTATATGCATTTTTCCTATTCAAATATTTTAATGCCTTGTATATGCTGAGGAAAAGGGAAAGGAATACTTCATGCACTGTTCAGATGTCTACACTAGAACTCTGAAGAGTTGGCACAACTTAATAGAATCCACTTAAGAAACTATAGGGGTACCTGGGTGGCTCGGTTCGTTAAGCATCCACCTTGAGCTCAGGTCATGATCTCACAGTTGGTGCATTCGAGCCCTACATCGGGCTCAATGCTGACAGCTCAGAGCCTGGAGCCTGCTTCAGATTCTGTGTCTCCCTCTCTCTTTGCCCCTCCCCTGCTCACACTCTCTCTCTCTCCCTCAAAATAAATAAATGTTTAAAGATAATAATAATAATAATAATAAAGTTTATTCCTTATCCAATCTATTCAGATCCAACTTACTCAGTTCCAGTATCTACTAGTGACATATTTCTCTCAAAATGACTAAAATCTTCAGTCTTGAGCACCTTAAATCTTTATAGACAAAATAATCATCACATATACCCCAAAACACAATAAAAACCAGCTACATACATACTAATTTTTAAAAACGACTTTTTACAAAAAAGTTCCTTCACTAGCAATAAACCTGTGTAGTAGGCAAAAGGGGGGAAAAAAGAGGGAATCATACTAGCTTACACACAACCCCATCCTTGCCTACCATTTAGTATTGCAACTAAAACCAACTCCTATCTAGGGGCAAAATGTGATAAGCTCCAATATCTGAAACCTTTAGGACTAAGGAATTATAAGAGGCAAAAAGTGGGGGACCTAAGTGGCTCAGTCAAGTAAGTGTCCAACTTCAGCTCAGGTTATGATCTCACATTTCATGACTTCGAGCCCCACATTGGGCTCTGGGCTGACAGCTCAGAGCCTGGAGCCTGCTTTAGATCCTGTGTCTTGCTCTCTCTCTGCTCCTCCCCCACTCATACTCTGTCTCTCTCTCAAAAATAAAAATTAAAAAAAAATTTTTTAATCCTGCCTTCAAGGAACTAACAATCTACTGAATGAAGAGCTTTAAAACTTTCTTAACCAGCATAGTAATGTGATGAAAAACATGTTCTAGAAAATGTTGAGAAAGGTAAGGATGTAAAAGAGAATAGAAATGTGACAGGATGTTATCAATATTCATTAAGAAATGCCATTTCCCCTTGCTGCCTCATATCTTAAGCCCACATTATCATGTTACTCACCCTCTACTAAGATCTTCCCAGATGCTTCAAACCTAACTGCTATTCACCCCTCTTCATACCTAAGCTAGGTCACCTCCTCAAAAAACCTTTTCTTAACGTCCAAGATCAGATGAGGTCTCCCTGTAAAATGCTTTCACAGTACCCTCTATTTCTTTTAGCACCTACCACAAATCTAATTATTTTTAAAACTATGTACTGATTAATGTCTTGCCCACATTAATTAAATTAATTAAGTTAAATCAACTCTATCCCAGTGCACAACACAATGCCTGAAACAGAGCGAACATATAACATCTGTTGAATGAATGAATATGAAACCATGGGCCCCAGTTTTCTGTGGAAGTACCAAGTAATGATTTAATGTCCAACAATTTAGGGTCTGGAAAACAGGATCACAATACATTTAATCATACTCATGTTATATACGCAAACAAGCATTCTGCTTTGATCAATGTTTTCCAAAGGGGCACAGCTGTTAATTAGAAAAAATTAGTACCAAAATAATAACAACAAAACTCATACCACTGACTCTTATCACATTATTTCTCCTTAGAGAAATGGATACATATTTTTGACAGATACTTGGAAATAAGAATATTTTCCTAGGCAAGTCTAATTACTTATTGACTGGTTTTTTTGCCTGAATGACGTTCAAGTGAGTATTACTCAGAAAACCAACAAAGGCAAACAAATTCTTTGCAATGTTAGAAACATTATGATTCTATAATTTACCATCTGGTAATAAAAGCAACAAATTGTAATGAGGACTGCAATCTACATATACTCATCTACAAGAAAAAAAAAACAGTAAATATCTTCAGAATAAAAGAATACCTCAGTGAAGTGCCTAGGTGGCTCAGTTGGTTAACCATCTGAATTTGGCTCAGCTTCATTAAGAAATGCCATTTCCCCAGGGCACCTGGGTGGCTCAGTTGGTTAAACCACTCACTTCAGCTCAGGTCACGCATGATCTCATGGTTTGTCGGGTTCAAGCCCCACATGGGTTCTGTGCTGACAGCTAGCTCAGAGCCTGAAGCCTGTCTTCCGATTCTGTGTCTCCCTCTCTTTCTGTCCCTGCCCAACTCGCACTCTCTCTCAAAAATAAACTTTTTTTAATTGAAAAGAAAAAAAAAGAAATGCCATTTCCCCTTCCTGCGTCTTATCTCAAGACCACCTATTCATGTTCCTTACCCTCTGCTAAGATCTTCCCAGATGCCTCAAACCTAATTGCTATTCACCCACCACCCTTCTTCATGCCTAAACTAGGTCACCTCCTCAGGAAACTTTTCTTAACCTCCAAGATCTTGCAGTTCAGGCCCTACATCAGGCTCTCTG